GGTAGTGACAGATTTCAAGAACGGGGAAATGAAGATATGTCCGTATGTGCTTGCTTCAAGGTCAAACCTTAACAAAGGTAAATACCATTTCGACGCATTATTAGGGCTGCCATCCGATCCACGTAATTCTCCTAGCTTAAGGATGTCCGGGGATTCCACTTTTTGTGCCAGGAAAATTTTGCGAAACGTAACACGCATTATCAGAAATATGTTTTTTGTACATCCCAGTACAACGACTCTCATCGCCCAGGAACAACGACCCGCATCACCCTATACAAGCATATGCGCGCCGCCCTGTACAACCAGCCAGACGACGGCATCGCAATGCGCGTGCGCAGGCAGACAATCATCCAGTTTGTACTAACTGGTGAACAGTGTTGTCAGCTCTACAGATTTTTTGGTAGATCTACCAATTTTAGTCCTATTCTATCTAAATACCAATTTTAATGCGAACTCTGCCGAAATTGCTCAAATACTTGAAAGGTATATTACTGACATAATTAAACGAACCACAAAAATAGAGGGGAAAAATCTCAATTTTGACCGGCGTCGGTAATAGATGATGGCAGCCATAAGCATAATTATTCTATTTAGGAACTTTTTTTGTTTTCGGTAATCTAGACACTGTTCACTAGGATATTTTAGATTCTTTTTTGAGCGCCAAAGAATACTTTAATCAATCGTAGCATGGATATCATCCTATATTACCAGCTCGTATTGTGTTTGTCTCGTTCTTTAGTGCAAGTTTGACCTATTTGAAAAATGTCTAACATGTATGTGAAATAACGTCAGCAGACTAATCAGTTACTTATTTTTAGCGAATAGCATACTAGAAATAGCAAAATCTCAGAAAAGGATATATGACATTTGTGAGATAATAAATAGTACACCTGGATTTGGTATTGTTTGTAAGTTGTTTTTCGTTTTGGTCAATGGCATACTTTGCATTATGGGCTTCCCCGCAAGACTTTACAACGGAGCTTTCCAAGACATAGAAGGAATCATTATGTTAAGACTAATGGGATCCTTAATGCATGATTTTTTCTTTGTTTCTGGAATTGGATTCAGGGAATATACTCACTCAATTTTGTATCAGTAATATCTAAATAAGAAGTGATAGATGTTTCAAAATCTTTGTAGATAATTATGTTCAGCGTTCTTCTGCATCTGACAGTCACTCCATATTTTTTGTTGACTGAAATCCAAAAAGGTGGATCTACCCTTTTCATTGTGCTGCAGTCTTGTTGGGTTTTTGTCCACTGTTTGAAATTCTACGCCATAATTGACCGATGTGACGTCTGCCAGAATGAAGTAAGTAGAAAAAATCAAACTAAAATGACTTAAAGGATAAGTTTAGCTATTATTAGGCTGTTGAATTTAGATCTTCTATATTTTTAGGCAGACAAAATACTGGATAGCGTGCAAAGAGTACTAGCCGACTATGCTGAGGAATCTCCACTGAAATCAGCGGTAATACTTTTTATAGCTACCAGTTTGATGCCGAGTTTGCAGGGTATTTGAATTCCAAAGTGATAACTCTCTCACGATACTAAACTGTGCTCTTTGCACATGTACGCAAAATATTATTAATAATGTAATGTAAAAACGTCGCTCTTGATATCATGAAAGCGTTCGATCAGCTGTGGCAAGCTTTTTCTACGGCTGCAATATATTCATCGTAACTGGTTCTTTTCTGCATCTCACAACGTCAACGCGGGAGATCCCCAGAGAGCGGTCTTGGCCCCGACACTGTTTCTATTACATATCAACGACCTCCTATCCTGTGCGATCAATCCAGCTTTGCTGGTGACAGCACTCTACATGCAGGAGATTACACGACAAGTTTGGTATCAAAACATAACGATTTGAAGTTGAAATTTGTCCTAAACTCAGTTAAATACCCTGCAAACTCCACATTAAACTGTGTAATCCTAAACGAAATATTGACTTTTTAGTTGATACGTTTTGCAATGCAACTTTCGCAATGTCAAATTCGCTTCAACACCAGTGGTCTATTTGCGCTAGACAGGTCGATATTCACATCGGTAAGTGCTAGTTCACTGTATTTGTTTCAATTAATAATAAACCTCTTATATTTTGCAGTTTGTAGCAGCTATCACTACGTACCTGGTCGTCCTAATACAAATGAACAATTATCAAAATTGACTATCTATTTAATAGACTGAATGTTGCCTCTATTTTCTCTCGTTTCAATTACATATACCCTGCCACCTCCAAGGATTACAAACAAATCTGATATTAAAAGCTTTGACAATTCCTTTCCACACTACGAGTATAAAAAAGTTTTTTAGCACGCCTATGTTGAGACCCCTTATAGCTATCTGATAATCCAATCGACACACTTGGCACCGTAGCATCAATCTACTAGTGGCATCACTCTCGCACTCATACGCAAGCCTTCGGCAGCTAAGCAGCCCCTCTCTATCTCCTGGAAGGACAAAATCTTTGCACCTCCCATCAAAATATTTTGTTTGCATTTTACAAGTTTATTTGACGTTTATGTTTGTCTGATTTTTTGTACGCGTAAAAATGGTGATTCGCCACGATTTAGAAGGCTATGAAAAATTCAGCGAGTTCATGAAAACCTTTGAGAGCAAAGGAAAAGCGGTTCACGTTTTGTTTTCCGGTACCAAGGACGACACTGGCGAAAGCTGGTGTGATGATTGTCAGAGAGGTGAGGTTATGTTTTGTCGCCCGCATTTTGGTGTTTTTGAAAACGTATTAAAAATATGTTGAAAATGGTTTTAGAAAAACCGGTTATAATTTTTTTCTTAGCTTTGAATTATAACTGAAGCAATTTTTGCATTATAATATAAATGACAATATTTCAAGCCTTGCGGTACTGAGAAATTCATTGTTATCAGCATTTACTTTGTGATTATATACCTTGTTCATAGGTATAGCCTAGACCCTAGAGTAATGAAAGTAAAATGAATTATAATATATTACTGATAAAACACTTCAAATACCTGTTATCACAGCATTTACCCACAGTATCAGTTAATTCAGAAAGAACCACTTAAACTTACTGCTTACTTAAATAGTAATCTATAGTATGACTTGGATTTATTATATTGGCGTTTATTGAATAAAAAAATCGGCAGTAACTTTTGGTTTTCTTATTTGTGGAATAAACCAGTGAACATGATGACGCCAAAATGACGTCATTATACGGTCACTTTTGGTTGGAAACGTCATTGACTAAAAAATTACGTATTTATTGACGCCACTTTTATGACGTGAACAAGACGTACTTTAAAAAGCCGCCATTTTGACGTATTTTTTAGGACATCAGTACCGAGAAATCGACACTGACCTACAAAGAAAATATAGACTTTTATATTCAGGGTTAAGTGGAATAACATTGTGGGTCACATCAGTGGCGCCCTTAGCCAAACTCTTTTTTTATAAAAATCTATGTTTATTTGTTGGTGTTTGGCGAATAAAGACGTTTTTTATTATTATTATTATTATATATAGACTAGACAGTAAGGGAAACTAGATATCCAAATACTAATAACTACTTTATTGTTATTTATAAAAAAGTGTCAGGAAATATCGTCCAAAAATATCTTTTTTCTAATAATAATATTCCATGTCAAAATTTTTAGAAACTGCCAGTTTACATCATGTTTTATTTCCGCAAATAACAAATTTTTACGAGCGACTGTACGTCATATCGACGTCACATAGACGTCATATCCACGTCATAGAGGCGTCATATCGACTGTGTATTTGGTCTTTCATACGACATACTATGACGTCAATGGGGTGTGACATTAGACCTTCATAATGACGTCATTTATACGTCATTTTTGTATATGTTCACTGGGAAGACTAAATAAAAATATATTTTAATTGATATATTTTCTAGCATGGCCTGTGATAGAGAAGGAGCTAGAAAAAGCTGACCCTGAGTCTTATTTCATCTATGTTCAAGTTGGAGACAGGCCTACGTATGTATATTTGCTCTATACTTACTACAGATCATTTTATATTTCTGTTAGTTGTTCATGCGGAGCATTTTATTATTTTTTCTGATTTCAGGTGGAAAGATCCAAACTGTCGCTTTAGGAAGGACCCAAAAACCAAACTGTTAGTTCTGCCAACACTTATGAGATGGAACTGTCCACAAAGACTTGAAGGTGATAAGTGCGAGAAAGAGGAACTAGTCTCTATGCTTTTTACTTATGATGAAGATGATTGAACTATTTTGTGCCCTATATAAAATAAGATGCATACATATACTTGTATACTTAAAAATAATCTGTGTACTGGTAGCATTTGAAGTATTATAAATAAACAGCCAGTCAAAATATTAATCTATGTATTGAAATATTTTTTAATTTTAGTAAAGCATTATACATTTTCAATATTTCTGTGTGTGTAATCGTTAATTTTCCTGAGACCCCGTTGTATTTTTTAATTTTTCCGAGACGCAAATTTTCTTATTTAATAGTTGAATCCGTCATTGCAATAACCTCGTAATTTGAATTTTCCAGGAGACAGTAAAAAACAGTATCAGTGAGAAATGAACCAGTTTTAAAGTACTTTTCTAGTTTTAATGTTGTATTTGGGTTGTACAAGAAATTTCGAATAACGTGCACGGTTTATTAATGATAATAATGGAATAAGCCTGAAAAGCTGTTATGGACTTACGCTGTTTTAGCAGAAAATAGGGTTACTGATACGGATCTTAAGCAAAAGAATTATTTTACTCATATCTTTCATTGCTTATATTATTGAAAGTTAAACTTGATTATTGATTTATCAACATGCTACACGATCTAATTTTGCACGTGATATTTTTGAGGTATATACATTGAGCGACAACTCTGGTTGCCTATAGTTAAGCACGATGATAATACGAGTATATACCATATTATGTATACCTGTGTGTATACGTTCATGGATTTTCGTTCGTTGTCGGAAATACGAAGGTACAAGTGGCTTCCACCTGCGATCCGACATTCGTAAACTTCATGACGAAAAATAATAATATTGAAACAACTCGAACTTGAAAAAGCCCGAAGTATTGATGATCTGAAGACCCATTTGCACGTAATCTTTACATCAGATTCGGATCCACAATTATTACAAATTTTTTAACGGCCATGTGTTCGTACTGAACCCTCCGAATTAACAGAACGTATCAGGTTTTATTCATTTGTAATAACAGGAGACTGAAAAGCAAATTTATCTATTGAAGTTTTATGGTCTCATATATCTTAATTCAACATTAGTTCATATACAATGGAAATGTCGCATCCCTATTTGTGACTCTCCTGGTATATTTTGGGAAAAACGCTCGGACATATCAATTTTTATAACACAAAATCAACTTGACGTACTTGCTAAAACAACTTAACAGACATCACGAAACAAACTGTGATGTGTATAGAAACATCAGCGCAGCCACTTGATGAAAATTTGCCAAGTAACGGTAAAAATACCGGTTACACCATCGATACTGGACTATTCAGTGTTGGTGAAGTTCAGCAACATTTCGGCGCAGAAGCCCGCCTCTCGCACGCCGAGTATTTGGAAGGTCACCGAGTGCGTTCGGGGTTCGAGTACCATCTCCAACTCGCATGGTGCCGACGTATTGGCACGGGTACCAGCGCGCCGGAACCGCTCTTCAGTCAGCTGATTGCCCGCCAAGTGTTTACAGTGGTTCCACGCAAGTGCTAGTTCGAAAACATGCCGCCTTCCAAGATTGTTTTGGATGATGATCAGAGGTTCGCCTTGATGAAGGTAAATAATTTACATTATGCCTACTAAGTGCCGTCAAGTAGGTTGACTCTGTGCTTTTCACGCAACGTTGTCATCGGTTCATAAGCACAAGTTAGTCCTTCTGAATTAGGTATAAACATAAATAACAAAAAAAATAAGTGGATTAAGTCCCAACCTATTTGATAACGTTAAGTATCGATCATCTGGCAACGGTGCTGAACCACACGAGTATAGAAATTTGAGAGAACCCAGTGTTGCCATATTAAGGGATTTTCCGCCAAACTTGGGGAACTTTCACGTCTCTTGGTGAGTTTTTGAGGGATAAAATGTTCTAGATGATTTTTTGAGGGAAAAATAAAATTGTTAAGTATTTTTGGGGTGTTTAATTAGTACGAAAAACCATCCACTGATAAATATCAGTTTTATCTTTCTGCTTTCTCTTTTCCCATGTCGGGCCCATCTCCACAAAACATCTACGCTGACCCCCCTCTACACCTTTACGTCAATTCTACAGGGTGGCCAACAAAGAATGCGAGGTACTGTATCTGGGAATCCATCCATCGTAGAGGGATTCTAATACGGCCAAAATAAAAATCTGGAAAATATATAGGTATTCAAGTTTCTGAAATGACCGCTAAGGGGCGTCACTGCAATCTTGAATCTAAAAAAGAGATGTTTCTGTGAATTCTGCAACACTAACCGAAAAAAATACCTCATCTTTAAATTTGAGGATAATCTAAATCTAAATCATAAATGAAATATGAGTAATGATTGATTTCACAATTTTTCCCCCTGAAAGTTTTTTGGCTACACCCAAGTGTTGAATATAAGAAAATAAAGTAAACACTTTAAGTAAAAGCAAAGAAAAAAAAATGACGCAGCAAACTAAGATCTGCTCAGTTTGTTTGTTTGTTAAATATTTGTTTAGCATTAATGCTACAATGTCATTATGGTTATTCCTTTATACATTTATTGTTTTGTTGTGATGAGAATGACTATTTAATTTTGTGGAGTTTTTTAAATGTGGTGGTAATAAATGATTTTTTAATTTGAATATTTTAACATGAGAACTAAATGACATATATTTTTTTTACATTCAAACACTGTAGTTCTTCTAACATACATATACAATCATAGCATATTTGATTTTGTTTAAAATAATTCTCATATGCTTATTTTGTGGATTTCGTAATTTTGAAAATATGTTTTCATTTGCTGTAAACAAGATGGTTGAAGTATATAAAAAATTAGGAAGAATTATGCTGTTATACACAATTTTTTGGAATACATTCTAAGATTATGGTAAGCTCTATAGAAGTAATTTATCTTTTCTTGATATTTTTGTGCTCTTGAAACAGTAGTTTACTATCCACATACATATATCCTCCTGCGCTACGAAATGATTATTAAAG